CCCCACCGGCTGGATCAATGGTCGAACGGCGTTGGTCTCGACCAATAGAAACGAAGCCTGCCAAATTTCGAGGGTTATGTGCTGATTGGTTGAGGAAGGACACGTGTCATATTTTCGACAAAAAAGCGACAAAAATGGCGGAGGCAACAAGTGTTATGGACGAAACTCTATATTTTCAAGCGAAATCTAAAATAAAGTCAATCTTTAAGCTACAGAATCTCATAGAATGTCAGGAAAAAGCGCTCAAATGTCTTATTATGGATTTATGGGTAGGGATGTGTTAACGATATTGCCTACCGGAGCAAGGAAGTCTTTGATCTTCCAAAGCTTCCCAATTGTATTTGATGTGATGCATTCATCTCAGTCTCCGAGTATTTGCTTAGTTATTTCTCCACTTTCCTCATTGATGCAAGACCAAGTGATGTATCTTAATTCAGTGGGAATAAAGGCTGCATTTATCGGGGATGACCAGACGGATGAAGAAATTAAATGGAATGTAGAGACCGGGTATTATCAACTGGTATATGGCTCTCCTGAAGCGTTTTTGGCGAGCAGTCGATGGCGAAAAATGCTTACTGGTGATGTATATCGTGATATAGTATGTTTAGTTGCAGTAGACGAAGCTCATTGCATTCAGCACTGGTAAAGATGCTAATTTCAATTGCTTACTTAATTTTTTTTTATACTGTGTACTGCCAACACTTAGTCATTTATTAATGATGATAAATGATGATATTTTGTTGACATACTTGACTTGTTACAGTAATATTAATAAGGATTTAATATATTAATGTTACAGTAAGATTGTATAAAATATTAAAGTATAAGGGTATCTTATAGTAAAAGCATTAGATAGTCTGTGAATGTTTGATTTGTGAATGTTAATTATTTATTTCATTTTTTTTGTAGGGGATATGCAGTCAAGAAAGGAGAACAAGCTTTTCGCAAATGGTTTTCCAGGATAAATGAGATGCGTTCACTGCTAAAGAAAATACCAATCCTGGCCCTCACTGCCACTGCAACCTTGGCAACAAAGAATAAAATAGTTCGGGCATTGGAAATGGACACATGTGAGGTTATAAATCAAAGTCCAAATAGAAAAAATATAGCATATTCTGTCCAGGCTGTAACTGGTGGTGCACATCAGACATTTGGTCCAATTATAAAAGAACTGAGAGAAAAAACAGTTAGTTTTGAGAGAATCATAATCTATTGTCAAACTATTAAAATTTGTTCACACATATATGGTGTATTCAAAGAGGAAATGGGTGAAGATATGTATGTTTCAACTGGTGATATCACAAGTGGAATGGTTGAAATGTATCATTCCAGGATTGATGAATTGAATCGTGATAATATTGTGAAGGATTTTTCAATACCAAATGGACATATAAGGCTTTTGATTGCAACAATAGCATATGGGATGGGGATCAATTGTCAAGGGGTAAAATCCATTGTGCATTATGGTCCATCTAGAAATGTTGAAGCATATCTGCAAGAAAGTGGTAGAGCTGGTAGAGATTCTTCTGATATGTGCAAAGCTGTCATATTGTATTCAAATGTTATGTTGAAGTATTGTGATGAACCAATGACAGAATATGCCCGAAACAGTACAGTTTGCAGACGGACAATGCTGCTGTCTTATTTTCAATCAGAGCTATATGATATAGAGAAGCCTTTATTACTTCATGAATGTTGTGACATCTGTCAAAGACATTGCCATTGTGATGGCACAGTTTGT